CTGGGGACATACTTACACTGCGAGCACTCTTGTCTCCACGGTCTGTTAGAACATCAGGAAAGAAGTTCACGTGCGTGAAGAAAGGAAACCAGTTTCAACCCGAATTTGAGGCCTGTATGCCCAGGCCGTCGGTATTCCAGGGCTCCTGGTGCGTTCTTGTAGAGGGCAACTCAGGATGCAACATTTTTGACGTTGGCCAGATCCTCTGGAAATGTCTGCGTGGTGACTGGCTTGTGAGGACCTTGGGACCCGGCACTGTTTCTTTCTCTCTCACCAGTTTGCCCTGTTCGTGGAGCTCTTGGCACCCGGTGTTCCCTGCTCTCTTGAAGTCCTCTGGGCCAGGTTCTGCCGGGCTGGAAACGGTCAGCAGCCTCCGCGTAAGACGTTGTCCTGGGGAGGCGCGTGTCAGCCCACCTCATGGTGCTGGGCGTCGAGGGCCTCTGTGGCCCCCACGAGCGGCTTGGGCCGTGTCAGTTGTGCTTGTTTGTCTGTCAGGCCGCATGTTATTGTCATCGCCTGAGACTCTTGGTGGTCTGTGTCCGTGAGGCGTTGGCGGCATCGTGGGGGATGCATCGTTAATGACGTAGCTGACGCATGTCCCTATGTGTGAATTGATGGTGACCAGTGACCAGAGGACTCAGGGTTGTGAGGCGTCCGTCTGGAGTCCCAGCAATGCTCCACGGCTCTGGTAGGTACAGGGGCTCTGGCAGAGTGTCACGCACTCCTCCGGGACGAGGTGCACGAGTCGCTTTTAACCCTCGACGTAGATGACACGGTGTTTGGCCGCACAGGTGCACCTGATGGGAAGGTTCCTCCAGAGTCCCCTCTGCCTGGTGGAGCCAAGAACACATGGGGTTCCCGAGGAGGGGGAGACCCTGGCAGTATAAAGACGGAAGGCGCTCCTAGAAAGGGCAGGGAGGCCCCGGCGGGAAGTGGGTCTGAGGGAGGGAGGCAGCCTGCCCGTCGCCCGGCCGGATTCTGAGAGCCTCGTCTCGTTCTGCATGCTGAGTGCGTATCCTGCAGCTTCGCTCGGTTCCTTTATTCTGACACGTTTTTGACGCAGCCTTTGGGGATTTCTATATGCTCTGCCGTGTCATCTGCAGACAGTGACAGTTCTTCTTCTTCTTTTTCAATTTGGACGCCTGCTCTTTCGTTTTCTTGCCCGACTGCTGCAGCCGGGACTTCCAGGACTGTGTCGAATACGGGCGGCGAGAGTGAGCGTCCCTGCCTTGTTCCTGATCTCAGAGGAAAAGCTCTCAGCTTTTCCCCACTGAGTATGATGCAGCTGGGGGGGTTCTTGTATGTGGCCTTTATCATGTCGAGCTGCGTTCACTTTATACCCATCTCGTTGAGAGGTTTTTGGTTTTTTTTAATCATCGGTGCATGTTGAATTTTAACAGATGCTCTTTCTGCATTTATTGAGATGACACATGATTTCATTTAGTTAATGTGATTGTTACCACATTGATTTGTGGATGTTGAACCATCTCTGCGTCCCTGGAATAAATCCCACTTGATTGTGGTTAATGGTCCTTTTAATGTGTTGTTGAATGTGATTTGCTAGTATTTTGTTGAGGGTTTTTGCATCTTGGTTCATCACGGATGTTGGCCTGTAGTTTTCTCGTGGCCTCCTCGTCTAGATTTGGTATCAGGGTCATGCTGGTCTTGGGGAATGAGTTTGGACATGTCCCCTCCTCTGATTTTGTTTTAATAACCAGAAGCTACCAGCAAGTGGCAGCGGTTACATCAGTTGCATTTATGCTAATCTTTTCACAAGTCTGAGTCTGAGGACCACCCACTGCCTGAAACCCCTGTTCTGCAGCAGCAGACATGATGGTTCCAGAGCAGCTTTCTGGCCTGGCTGGTGGAGGGCCATCGCGGCTGCACCCGGGACAGCCAGCTCCCAGTTCACGCTGTGCCGAGGAGAGCCGGATCTTTTGGGCCTCTGTGCCAAGAGTTTCCCGCTGGGCCTGTTAAGTGGCCTTTCTGTTGGCGGATGAGAGTTAGCGGGCACGGACTAGCACGGGGCATTTTCCCGTTAGTGCTTAGCTGAGAGGTTCCTTCACCTCAGATTATCTCACTCCTTTCCATTTCGGAGGGTGGGGTGTCTCAGAGCCGGGAATGTTTTTCTGAACACAGCCACACTGACCTCGGGGACCAGCGGTTGGAACAGCCTCTGAGCTGCCTCATTTGGCTGAACACCAGTGTTCTGACAGGCCTGAGTCCTGCCTCGGGGGGCTGGAGCAGCGGCGTTTCCTCCGTAATCCCGAATAGCGTAGTTCTCTCGTGTCGAGGCTCTCTACCCACGAACTGAGGCCGTGGCCTGGTGCTCGTGACAGTAAAGCACCCGAAGCGTCTAGAACAGTCCGCTGGACTCTCGGGTCTCACACCCGCTGCTGGGGCCACGCCAGTCTCTGTAACCTGATCCCGCCCACCTCTCCTGACCAGTGGCCACTGGCTCTTTGGAAGCGCTGGGGAGGGCTCTGTGAGCTGGGGGTCTTCCGGGTGAGAAGCCCCGAGGTCTGCTCAGTGCCCTGGGCCAGGACGTCTTGGCCCAGACCCTCCTTCTGCCCACACAGGGTCAGGGTGAGGGCTGCGTGGGAACGTGCGGGGAAGTGGGCGAGCCAGTGCCCGCTCCTTGTATGGCGGCCCTGGGTGTTAGTTAGAGGCTAACTCCGAACGTGGCTCCCCTCCTGGGGGCACCCTGGGCTCATTGAGGCTCTCAGGTCACCTCTGCTAGACTCTGTTCTGGTGGCTCCACTTTTTTAAGCGCATAACATAAAACACAGACTTTACCTTTACGTTGTGAAATGGCTTGCCTGCTTAGAAGTTAGCGTGCTCACAGTTGGGCTGAGGGTGTTGGTCTCTTGTCTCTCTCTTGGACCATCTTGGGGGCCATCCCAGGCCCGTGAGCCAGTGTTGTGTCAGCAGAAGCCACAAGGAGAACAGTGATTTTTCTCACACGTGCAGAGCTTATACGAGGGTTCTGCCACTCCAGGCAGACAGCTGGGAGGCAGTGTTTTAATTTCAGAGAGCTGTAGCTGTCATTTTTTATTATTTATTTTTTTGAGAGAGAGAGAGAGAGAGAGAGAGAGAGAGAGAGAGGAAGGGGCAGAGGGAGGGAGAGAGAGAACCTCAAACAGGCCCCGTGCTCAGTGTGGAGCCTGATGTAGAGCTCGATCTCACCACCCTGATCATGACCTGAGCCGAAACAAGAATCCGACACTCAACCGACCGAGCCCCCCAGGTGCCCCCAGAGCTGCGGCTTTTAAAGGAAAAGAGGGAGGTCTCCTTTCAAAGTTGCTAAGAGTCTTGTGTGGTCTTTGAGTGGTCCAGGAGCTGTGTGGTCATAGACTGATTTGGAAAGAACAGACTGTTGCTTGCAGTCAAGTTGGGGACTAGGGGAGGGGGATACGAGAGGAGAGGGTCATGCTGAATGGGCCCATTGACTTTATTCTCCCGTGTTTTATCATGAAAATTAAAAAGTCTACAAAAAGGATCATAGAGCAAACACCCGCTTGCCATCACCTGATTCTACAACCGTCTGTGACGCTTTATTATCTCACAGCTTTCCATCCACCCATCTCTCCATCATCCTGCTCGATTGATGCATTTCAGAGTAAGTGGCAGATGCTGTCATATTTCACCCCTGAACCCTTGAGTATATACGTCAGTCTGCAGCTCATTTGTTTATGGTTCCTGGTCCTGTTGATTATTGCTTGTGTGTTAAACACAAAACCTATCCGGGTGTGACCGTAAATTAGCCAGACCGACTTTACTGTGCGTCTTGTAAACCGACTCAGAAGACTGCACACGGGATGAATGGCAGGTGTCTGGGAGACAGTAAAGGCTCATTTAGAAACCCGTGTTAACAGGCTGGAACCTCGGGTGACAGCGGGTAGCTGCCCGCCAGCTGTCTGCATACTTCAAAGGCCTGGGCTGCTTCTGGCCTCACTTTCCTCCTCCCTGCACTCCAGACACAGTGGAGACCTGAGAGCTGCCAGCCCGTCTCCAGGTCCCGCTGGCTCTGCTGGCTGGGTCTTGCTTCCCGCAGAATGATGTGATCGTGCCGTCCAGCCCATCCCTGCCTCCCGCTGTGCATCAGCCTGGGTTCTCCAGACAAACAGAGCCATTCCTTTATGTGAAGAAATTTGTTGTAAGGAATTGGGTCCCACAGTGAATGTAGGTTGAGAAGTCCCAAGGTCTGCCATCAGTGAGTCACCTAGGAGGCATGGTGGCCCTGGGACCAGCTCCCAGAGGAGCTGAGGGTGTAGTTGAAGTCTGAAATCTGGCAGGCTCGAGACCTTGGAGGAGCCCATGTTTCCTTTCATGTCCCAAGTTAGAAAGACTGATGTCGCAGTTCACGGGGTCAGGCAGGTGTCCCCTCCTTGGGGAAAAGCCTTTCTTTCCAGGCTGTCCACTGATTGGATGAGGCCCACCCAGTTGGGGACGGCGGTTGGTTTTACTCAGTGTGCGGATTTAAATGCTAACCTTGTCTGGAAACACCCTCTCAGATGCACCTGCTGTAAATGTGTTGTCGTGGGTCACACGTGGGCACCTGTTGCCCAGACAAGACAGCGTGCAGTTGACTCTGGTGGGAATTTTAGCCTAACTGTTTTATGGACACATCTCGCGTACAGATGCCAGTGTCCCCTCTGCCGTGTCCCCAGGAGGGAGGTGTCCCAGTCTTTGACTCCCCCGCTGATGGGAGGCTCCCCACTTTACAGGGGTGCTCCCTCTGTGTCTTTCAAGGCAGCAGTCACCGGCACTGATCACTTAGAGGCTAGGTTTCAGAATGGTCCAGTTGTCTGTTTTGTTAAGGGTTCGAAAGACATTTCATTCTTAGAATTCTCTAGAAACCTTTGCAAAGATCTGCTTGGGTCCACATTTGCGCACGAGGCTCTGTTAGTTACCAGCATCAGGCGCTTCCTCCCGGGTGACGGTGAAGCACAGCCTGGCCGGCTCCGGCGTGACAGCTCTCTCTCTTCCCGCAGTGCTCCACCGCTACAGACACATCCTGGGGCTGTGGCAGCCAGACATCGGGCCCTACGGAGGACTGCTGAACGTGGTGGTGAGTCCGAGCCCGCGGCGCTGGGCCCTGGTGCGGGTGGGACTGAGGCCCTAGTGGTCTTCTCCCCGAGGCGCCGCCCAGTGGTCACAGGGAGCCCCCTTAGGTGACTTGCAATTTTGTAAATGACCAAAGGTTCTCACTGCGACCTTGGACTTCATGGTGAGGAGCCACAGGGGGTCCTCCCTCCCTCATCCTGGTCCCCTCCTGCAGACATCTCGGCCATTGTGTTCACGCCAGCAGGACATGCTAGTTTTGGGTTGTGCACTCACTTCTTGTCCTAAATCAGGGGCCCCTTGGAGCCGTAAACAGTCACCCTCTGACCCTGGCGGCCCTGTCTCTGTGCCCCGAGGCGTGCCCCAGCTGTGACTCGTCATGCGGACTTTTTATCGTTCCACTAACGCTCGCGAGTGCCTGTCCCATGAATAAGACGCAGTTCAGTGGCCAGGACGGCGGGCTGGGGTGCAGTGTCCTGGTGAGTCACCTGGGAGGCACGGTGGCCCTGGGACCAGGCGGGCCTGGTGCCGACTGGAAGCCTCAGTGGAGTCGGAAAGTGGGGTTCACCCACCATAGTAACACTGGGGTCAGGCCAGGGTCCTTGATGGATGGGAAAACCAGCGGTGGGCACTTTGGGGGAAACTGTATTTCCACAATCTGTGAGCCTCTCCCCACAAATCCTGTATTACTCGCTGTCTTAGCTTCCGGGGGCCAAATTACCAAGCTACCACCAGTGGATTCTGTCACTCATCTGGAAGCCTGACGTCCTCAGTATTAACCAGGCTGAGACCAGGGTGTCGTGGGGTCGCCGCTCTCCCTCTGAAGGCTCTGGGGGAGGGTCCTCCCTGCCTCTTCCCAGCTGCGAGGCCCAGGTGTCCCTTGACTGTGGCTGCACCCCTGCAGCCTCTGCCCCTGACCCCTCTCCCCTCTGTGTGTCTCAGACCTAGTCTGCCTCCCTCTCTCGGGAATGCAGTGGTTGCATTGAGGGCCCGGGTGAGCCCCAGCCATCTCTTCTTAAGATCTTCAACTTCACGTTTGTAAAATCCTCGTTTTGCAGTATAGGGTGGTGACGTTCATGGGTTCCGGGGACTTCTTTGGGGGCTACTGTTTAGCGGTCATGATTACAAGGAGGAAGAGGCCTTTACTGGGGGGGAGATGTGGCCAACAGCACCCATCGCGGTGATCCCCGCTAGCTAACTGGCAATGGGACTCTGACCTCAGGCCCCTCCTGGTTTCACTCGATGGACTTAGCCTCCCTTCTGTGGATCCTTGCCAAAAATACACAACCTGAATGTGATCATGGGCACCCCTTCACACAGACCCTCCTGGGGGCCAGGCCCCAGAAGAACTGCCTTCTGCCTGCTGAGTGCCCGGCTCACCGTAGGCAGGAAGGGATGATGAGCTGAGGCCTGTGCTCCTGGGGACAAAGGGGACCAGGGCCGGCAGAAGAGGACCAAAGGGGACAGCTTGCCCAGTGGGGGTGTGTGCAGGTGCTTGGTTGTGCCAGTAGCCTGATCCTGTCTCCTGAGAGCTTCTCCCCGCCAGACCATAGTGTTTCTTGTTTCAGCTGCCTAGACTTCCTGATTCTGTCTGTCCGCCCTTTTTCCGTCTCCTGCAGGCCGGTTCTTTTCCCTGTGGAGGCGGACACTGTCGCTCAATACTGAGGAGCTGGGTGATTCTCTTCCCTCAAACGTGGTCAGGCAGGTCAGGCGGTCGGGGGCTCTCGTAGAGGCGTGCTTTAGCTCTGTGTCTAAGTCTCGGTGCTGGGGCACCCCTGTCCGTGCCCCGGGGGTTCCTGGAGGCGCCCATCTCTTTTGCTTGCAGCTGGGACATCTCGAGACCTGTCCGACCCGGGGGTTGTCCAGCGTGTGCCCAGCCTGTCCCGGGCTCGGTGTTCAGCCAGAGCGCGGGCCCCTCGGCAGATCCCGGGGGTCTTTCTCCACACAGCTCCCTCCTTTCTGGGACTCTGACCCCCGTGCTCCAGCACGCCAGCCACCTCGAAGTCCAGTCTCTGTTTTCTCTGTTTGCCTGGGCCCCTCTCTGCTCTGGGGTCTGGCAGGTGCCTCTGGCAGGAATCCAGCGCGTGGCCAGGGGTTACAGCCCCTCGCTGCGTGTTGGCCGTGGTCGCATTTGTGTTCACAGCAGCCCCCGTTACTCCACCGTGGCCAGGATGCAAGTCTGGCTTTGTTTCTTGTGCTTCTGGTGAGGTTTTTCCCTCTTCCTTGTCTTGTAGAGTACATGAGGAGGCAAAGTTACTTTAAAGTCTGTGACCTCCAGTTCACTTTACAGACTTTTTCCTCTGGATTTTCAGGCATGGCCTGGCGTTGCCCGCACCCGTGGCCGTGGCTGCTGCTCTCCCCAGGAGGGTCCCTGGCCTCTGGCCTGGGTTCATAGCCAGCAGAGCACTTGGCTCTGACCAGGTTGTCACCTGAGAGAGCCTAGGCACCTCCTCTCCAGGGCCTGTATTCCCAGCAGGGCACAGATACCGCTGAAGCCTCTCCTGGCTGGTTGGCCTCTCAGCAGCCACTTTCTGCTTGACTTCTCCATCTCCCGGCCTCACAGGTTAGGATCCGGAAGGTGCCTCAGGGGCAGAGCTATGTACACTTTGGGATCCTGCCCTAGAGCCGTGGCTTCCGTGGCAGCCTTGGGGGCTCCACCACCCCACCACCCTCTGCCAGGAGTACTCAGGGGCCTGGGACCCAGGGGTGGGAGGCCCTGCCCCCTTTGGCTCACCTGTCCCTTCTTTTCAGGCCCTTGGTCCTTGTCTTGGGGCCCCTGGTGTCTTCAGGCAGCATTCGAACTGCTGTGTGTGCAGACTTCCCAGCTGGTGTCTGCAGGAGGGGCTGTTTGTTGTAAGCACCCTGGTCCTAAGCAGGAGGAAAGTCTTTTTATTTTAAAAAAAAAAATGTTTACTTATTAAAAAAATTTTTTTTGGTGTTTATTTATTTGTGAGAGAGAGAGAGCCAGACAGACAGAGTGTGAGCGGGGGAGGGGCAGAGAAAGAGGGAGACACAGAATCCGAAGCAGACTCCAGGCTCTGAGCTGTCAGCACAGAGTCCGATGCGGGGCTCGAACTCGCGGACTGTGAGATCATGATCTGAGCTGAAGTCAGACACTTAATTTAACTAGGGCCACCCAGGCGCCCCTAAATGTTTATTTATTTTTGAGAGAGAGGGAGAGACAGAACATGAATGTGGAAAGGCCAGAGGGAGAGGGAGACACAGAACCCGAAGCAGGCTCCAGGCTCCCAGCTGTCAGCACAGAGCCCGACGCGGGGCTCGAACTCACAAACCGTGAGATCATGACCTGAGCCGAAGTTGGATGCTCAGCCGACTGAGCCACCCAGGCGCCCCAGGAGGAAAGTCTTGTAGCTTCATTTTTATGTGCTGCTCCGTCGCTTGCCTGTCCTGTTTTGAATAGTAGCTGCTCAGTTCTAGTGCTTTACAGGCATCTGTATCGTGGGGTGCGGCGCTTTGCTGGGTCTCCAGCGTGGCTGTCCTCCCTCCTCGGGCTCGCCATGTGCTCTTAGCAGAAGCCCCAGGGCTGGGGGTGTGCAGGTGCCTGACCCCCGTGTCACTGCTGCTGGTGCTCCAGTGTGAGTGGAGTCTGGTGCCCTTTGGGGAGCGCCCGTGTTCTGATCTTGCTTCCCCCTCTGCTTGCACACGCTCTTGGTGAGTCCACGGGCCCGGCCACAAGCACGTGGTAGTAACAGACGACACACTGGGGCCCTGCGTAGCCTCGGCGTGGGCTCTTCAGAGCCTGGCTCAGCTGAGTCACCTGGGGGCCCCAAGAGCTCTGTCACTCTGTGGTTTGCTCACCAGGTGGGGGTTGGACAGGGATAAATATTGCTTCATATTCTTTACGATGCAGTGGAAACATCCATTAAGAAACATGCTTTATATTTATGTTCAACATCACTGGGGAAAGCCTTGCATTTAGAACGTTCCTTCCAGGACAAGCCAGTCTGCTCCCCAGCGTGGGCAGACTGCTTTCCTTTCTTTAGGCGGGGAGGGTGATATTGTTTTTCTTCCTGGCAGTGAGTAATAGAGTAAAAAAGAAATTGCAGCTTCTGAAAGGAGGGGGTAATTAGGGGAGAATGGAGCCATGACAAAAGAGTGTTGGCTTGCCCTTGTCAGACCGGTTTGCCACAGGAATGATGGGAGCGCACCCAAGCTCCTTGCCCGGGACACCCCTCCCCCGCCCCCAGTCCAGTCCCTGTCTGTCAGCCACCACTTTGCATGCACCAAAGAGCCACGGCAGCATGCACACCCACAGTTATCATGCATGTTGCACAGCCACGGCATCTGTCTTCTCAGTTTGTTTCTGATTTTCAGGCATTTTATTTTTTTATTTTTAGCTTTTTAAAGTTTATTTTGAGAAAGAGTGCGTGTGTGTGAATGGGGGAGGGGCAGAGAGAGGGAGAGAGAGAATTCCAAGCAGGTTCTGTGCTGTCAGTGCAGAGCCTGATGGGGAGCTCAAACCCATGAACCGTGAGATCGTGACCTGAGCCGAAACCAAGAGTCGGACGCTTAACCGACTGAGCCACCTGGGCGCCCCAAGATTTCATTCTTTTTTTACGGCTGAGTAGTATTCCACTGTGTACCCACTACGTCTTTATCCATTCATCTGTTGATGGACAGTTAGGCTGTCTCCATATCTTGGATATTGTAGATAATGGTGCAGGTATGTGTTTATTTTCAGCCTCGTTGAGGTGTAATTGACAAAGTTGTGGGCTACGTGAGGAATACATCTCGGTGATATTTGTGTTCTTTGTGCAAGGATTCCTGCCATCTAGTGACGAGTACGTCCTCCACTTCCCATTTCTATCCGTTCTTTTCTGAGTGAGAACACTTAAGTTCTACTCTTTTAGAAGATTTCAGTCACTGTGTTTATGAAAAGTAACTACTTTTTAAACAACAAGCACTTGGTAGGTGGGCCATGCTTATCCTGATGCACTGGATCCTGGTGCGCTAGACTGTATGTTCCCTGGCCCCAGGATTCTGGGCGGGGCTGCGGTGTGGGGACGAGGGTGGTCCTCGAGGGCAGTGTGGGGTGGAGACCTCCTGCCTCAGCCCCTCAGCCTAAATCTCACGTGGACTTGTGCCCTTCCTCCTCACCACAGGTGGACGGCTTGTTCATCATTGGCTGGATGTACCTGCCTCCCCACGACCCTCATGTGGACGACCCCATGCGATTCAAGCCCTTGTTCAGGGTCCACCTGATGGAGAGAAAGTCTGCCACGGTGGAGTGCATGTATGGCCACAGAGGGCCCCACAATGGCCACATCCAGGTGAGCGCCTGGGGCTCCCTTACATACAGTAGCCGAGTGCAGGCATGGGGCTGGGCTCCTCTGTCGCCCCCGGTCCTAGTGGCAGTGGGGGTGTGGTGTTGGCTGAGCTGGCTGTGGGGTTCCCAGCTGCAGGCCCGTGTGCACACAGAGCAGCAGACAGGGGAGGAAGTGGGGGCTCAGCCCCGCCCCTGGGGTGTGTTCCCGACCTGATGGTGCTGTGATGTAGCCCCTCAGAGACTCACTCACTGGGACCTGCCAGGGATTCTGTGTTCGGTCGGAACCGTCCTTTTTGCCATGATTCCTCAACGCTCCCAGGTTTCCTCTTTGAAAGAGTATCAACTTGGAATAAAACACTCTGCTCTCTGATAATGGTTTGGCGAACCGCCACCCCAGTGAGCCCGTGTGAAACAGCAGCCCCTTAGCTGTGCCGTGACGTGTCGCCTTGGAAAAGCCTCCCAGATGCACTGTCCTCTGAGGAGGAGGTGTGCGTCCAGGCAGCCCTGAGCTCCCTTCTCGGGACTGGCCACGATTCGGCAGCTCTTGGGCTTCCGTACGCGTGCGGGGGGTGTCTGTGCCGGAGAGGCTGATCGTGCTGCCCCGGCTGCCTGCCCGGCGTGCCGTGACTGACCCGTTCCCCTCTCCTTTGTCGTGAACCCTCAAGATTGTGAAGAAGGACGAGTTCTCCACCAAGTGCAACCAGACGGACCACCACAGGATGTCTGGCGGGAGGCAGGAGGTGAGCCCGAACCCCTCCGTTCACGGGTTGACGTCGCCAGCATGCCCCCTGTGAGAGGGTCGTCTCCCCTGCCCCGTCCATCGGAAAGGGCACCGTGTGTGCGGCTGCACGGCCACGGGCTTTCGTTACCCGCCACCCCTGAGAACAGGCGGAGCGAAGAGAAGTAGTTTTCTCTGAGCGGCTCCCCTTTGCCCCTTTGGCGAGAGAGTCCAGGTGCTGTTGGAGATTCTTCTCGCGTGTGCGTGCGTGGGGAGACCGGACGGCTTTTCTGGAGCCTCTGTGTTCTCCCGGCAGACGGGCCTTGTGGCTGACATTTCCACGTCATGGCCACACAGAGGGGAGGCCTGTCTCTGAGCTTCACTCGTGAGTTTCTTTGGACTTCCTTTTATTTGCACAAGTAATTTCATATTGCCTTTGAGTTTCTGTGTTCTGAGGACCTAAGTCACACTGCCATTTCAAAACATCCTAAGGAAAACTTGAATTTTTGAAGTGTCGGATGCTCCCTGAACTGATGGTTATTGGTTGGGCCTGCATTTCTCAGTCAGGTTCTGAGTCCGGTCGCTTCCCTGTTAGCCCGAGAAGTGCAGGGAGATTGAACGTAAGCGCACACGTACGCGCGTCTTTGTGTAAAGAGTGCACACACATGCTCACTGGAATCCCTTGAAGGCGGAGGAGGTCCCTGTTTCCTCAAATATGTGGCACGTGATGGAAATGCTCTATTCTTTCACAACAGTGTCACTGACGATTGCATGTACGTCGCACGCACAACACGCAGGTGTTGCTATAGTTCACGTTTCAGCAGAAGACGTCCGCGTGTTTCCCGAGAGTAGACACTCCTCAGTTGTCGAGACTGTAAAGGGACCGTGCGGTGTGTTTCTGGAAGGACATATGCTGGGGTCGGGAAAAGTTCTTGGCCGCCGCCTTCCGTGTGTGGGCTCGCCAATCGGGAAGTGGAATGGTATAACTTCGATTGTAAAAGCAGTGACACCAGTCCTTTGTGGATGGAAACTAGGAACGAGTGCGTGTGAGGCAGGAGCACGGCCTTGCTGGTCTCCTGGCCCTGGGGTCCTTTTGCGTTTCCCTTACCGTGACCTCAGCCGAGGCTGAGGTGAGGGGCATGATCAAGGGCTCCCCGTGGCTCCTTCTCTGAACGTTAGGAAACATCCTTGCTTCTTTTTCTGCTTGATGTTTCTAATTGACTCGTAGCAGCTTATCGTCTGGGGAAATGAATCCTTCAAGGTGTGAGTTGCGAGTCATTTCTTATTCATTATTTTGTCTTTTGGTTTGATTTATAGTGTGTTTTTCTCCAGGAGTTTTTTTAATGTTTATGTGTTTTTAACTTTTATGTAGTCAGAGGCATCTCTTTTTCCCCTGCCCGGCCCATCCGAGAGGATGGGCAGACCGTCCCCCGTGCAGAGCAGAGGGCCGCGCCCTGTCCCCAGGCAGACCGTCCCCAGGCAGAGCGGCGGGACCTCAAGGTCCCCAGTGAGCCAGCCTGGAGTTGCTGTGGTGGGAGAGCTTGCCGTCTGGCCCTGTGGTCACTTTGTCCATGTTAGGTGCTCTGCTGTCTGCTGCTTGTCTCTGTCTCCCCTCAGCTGTGTGGGGATGGGGTTCTCCTGTGGATTTGTGTGTCAGCCGGTGACGTCTTCACTTTCTCGTTCAGTCTTTTGGATCCAGAGGATGGCTCCAGGCTCCAGGGAGAGAGGACAGGCCGTGGGGGGGACATCGCCATGTGTCCTGATAGCTCTGAGCACTGAGGTGAAGGGCTGAGCCCCGGACTCTGGCTGCCCTGTGCTCTAATGGCTGACAGTCATTTAAAAATCTGGGCCCCGGGGCGCTTGGGTAGCTCCGTCAGTTGAGCGTCGGCTTCGGCTCGGGTTATGATCTCACAGTTCGTGAGTTCAGCACCTCCCCAAGACAGGGGCTCTTGTGCTGAGGCTTGGAGCCTGGAGCCTGCTTCGGATTCTGTGTCTTCCTCTCTCTCTGCCCCTCCCCTGCTTGTGCTGTCTCTCTCTCTCTCAAAATACACAGTCAAACATATGAAAAAATAAAATAAAAAATCTCCCCTGGGGTCTGTGAGGCACTTCCCAGGGGATTGAGAGCTCCTGGCAGCCAAGAGGGCTAGCAGGGGACCATGGCAGCAAGTGCAGTCTTCCCCGGGGACGGGGGAGTCCTCACGCCCCCAAGGGCTGGCCTGGCACCCTGCTCTCCTTCGTTCTCTCTGGCACCACAAGAGCCCGTGAGGGATGCCGGGCGGCTGGGCTGTCTGAGAAGTGCTAACTCCAGGTGCCCCGTAGGTCTCTGGCTCATACGCTGCAGGTGCCCCGTGGGTCTCTGGCTCATACGCTGCAGGTGCCCCGTGGGTCTCTGGCTCATACACCGAGTCTTGCTCACCAGCCCTTCCGCTTCTCCCACCCAGCTCCAGGCCCGGGGTTTCTGCCCGCCGTGTGCACCTCTGAATGCCAAGTTCAGACGCGAGTCAGGCCGCGATGCCCTCAGCCTGCTCCTCATGGCATGCCCCGGGGGACCTGTGCGTGCTCCACAAACCGCAGCCCCTCTCCTGGGTTCTGTGAGCAGGGCAGGCTCCTGGGCCCACGCAGACTTGCCTCCTCTGGCCTCCGTCACTAGATGACAGCCAGGCCCAGCTGCCGTCTTCCCTGCCCATCCTGTGCCTGTCCAGCCCCCAGCCTGAGGTTTCTGGAAATCCGGGCTGCGAGGAGGAGCAGAGATGGGGAAGAGAGGAGGGAGGCAGGATGGGCAGGCCCCACCCCTGAGATGCTGTGGGTGTCCGTCATCCCTCCCGACCAGGCCTCGCTCCTGGCGCTCTGTCGTGTGGAGAGGTTCTCGCCCTACATTCCTGAACGGGACGCAAGATGCTTTTGTTTTGCTTTTTTTTTTTTTTTTTTTTTTTTGTCTTTTGTACTTTTTCACCTGAGCATTGAAATGTCACCTTCTGATCATCAAACACGAATTCATTGGAGCCCCACGCAGGGTCAGCCCCTGTGCTTGTCCTGTGTTATCCCTTCATGTTTTCCAAATTGTTTTTTTATGTAATTACAATCTAACTCTATCTAATTTGGGTCTTTTTTTTTTTTAAAGCTGTTTAGCTGTTCCAGAAATACTTCCCAGTCTCATTAGAATTGTTTACAAACTTCAGTTTGACCGCAACATCCCGTCTGTCACCTGAGGTCTTTGACTCTATGAGTGTGATCCTCTCTCTTGCGGTCGGGCATGGGGTCTTGCTCAGGTGTTTGTGTTTCCCCACTGCCCTCCTGACCACGTGCTCAAGTGACTTGCTCTCTGAGAGCCTCAGTCCTTACCTGTGAAACGGGGCCATGCAGTTACCCGCAGAACCCACACGAGTTGGAGGGCTGAATAGGGCACAGCATGTGAAAGTCTTAGCACCAGGCCTGGCCATGGCCGCCTGGGAGAGACGCCAGGCTTCTTCCTGGAACTGAACTGCCTGAACTCTGTGCAAAAACCTTACCTGGTTTTTGGACCATACATACAGTTGTGGGATTGCCAGGTGAAAGGCCCTGAAGATGTTCCAGATTCTTGTTATGTGTCGTCTGTTTGCTGGTCCATGTTCACAACCCACCAGGGCGGGTAAGCCCCCTGCTTCCTGCGCTCCTCCCGTCCTTGACGGTGGCCCTGGTGGAAGCAAGGCCAGGGAGCACGTGGACTTTGGATGAGGTCTGATTCTGCCACCTACTCCTGGTGACATAGGAAGGGTTTCCGAAGGCCCACGCCTCTGTAGGATGGGGAAGACGCTAGCACCTGTCTCCCGGGCTGCTGTGAAGATGAACACGATGGTTATATGGCGCCAGCACGTGGTGAGCAAGCTCTGGGAAATATTGTTCTTGTCTTCTGTGTTCCGGGCTCCTATGTTTTCCTTGTGCATGCACCTCTCATGAGATAATTGCATAATAAACATATTTCAAAGGCCTTTGTTCTGAGTAATTGGGCCTGGTTGCTGTTTCTAATGACTCTGACCTTTTCATGCAAAGTAAATAAGATTACGACTCCTCACAAGCCATCTTCCGTGGTATTTAGTTCAAGTCCGATTATTCACCATGGTAACATCAAAGTCCTTGCTCATTTATACTTCAGTTCCATTTTTATCTGTTGCTTATTGGTTTGAGTTTTTGAGGGCCTTTCCTCCATGAGTTCAGCCATTTGAGTGGAAGCTTTTGACTTTGGTAAAGTATAATTTGTCAAGTGTTTTTTTTTTTCCCCCCATATTTATTTATATTTGAGAGTAAGAGAGAGAGCGAGACAGTGTGTGAGTAGGGGGAGGGGCAGAAAGAGGGGGACACAGACTCCCAAGCAGACTCAAGACTCTGAATTGTCAGCACAGAGCCCGATGTGGGGCTCAAACCCACAAGCTGTGAGATCTTGACCTGAGCCAAAGTTGGATGCCCAACCAACTGAGCCACCCAGGTGCCCCAGTTTTCTTTTTTTTTAATGTTTATTTATTTTGAGAGAAGAGAAAATGAGTGGGGGAGGGGCAGAAAGAGAGGGGGACAGGGGGTTCGAAGCAGTCTTAGCACTGACAGCAGTGATCCTGGTGTGGGACTTGAACTCACAAACTGTGAGATCATGAGCCAGAGTTGGACTCTTAAGTGACTGAGCCAACCAGGCGCCCTGGGACAGGCAGTGTTTATTAAGATACAGAAAAATAACCGTAAAAGAAAAACCTTCACAAATTAGGGGCACCTGGGTGGCTCAGCCGGTTATGTGTCCAACTTCGGCTCAGGTCATGATCTTGAGGTTCGTGTGTTCAAGCCCTGCTTCGGACTCTGCATTGAAGGCTCAGAGTCTGGAGCCTGCTTCAGATTCTGTATCTCCTTCTCTCTCTCTCTGCCCCTCCCCCGCTTGTGTGCACGTGTGCGCACGCTCTCTTTCACTCAAAAACAAACTTAAAAAAACAAAAAAAAAACAAAAAACATTGCCTATCCCTAAGTTACAAAGATTCTCGCTCTTTTCAGAAGCATGATAGCTTCATGCTATGTTTGGGTCTGTGGCCCATCCAGCATTATTTCTTGTGTGTGGTGTGAGGCCGGGATCGTGGTTCCTTTTCTCCACATGGCTGTCCAGTTGTTTGAGCATCATTTGTGAAAGAGACTTTTTTTTCATATCGTGTGGCTTGGACATATTTGTCAAAAATCAGCTGACGAGCTAAATGGGTCTGTTTCTGGGCTCTCCGTTTCATTTCATCGATGTTTTTGTCAGTCCCGATGCTCTTAGCACCATCTTGATCACTGTGGTTTTCTCTTTAAGTCATAACGTGAGCTGGTGGAGGTCCTCCAACTTTGTTGTTTTGAAAGATGGCTTTGGACGTTGTAGGTTCTTTTCATTTCCATATGAATTTCAGAATCGGCTTGTCATTTTCTACAGAAATCCTGGTGGGACTGTGACTGTCATGGCGCTGAGTCTATAGATGGGTTCGGAGAGAACTGCTGGCTTGGTCTGAGTCCTCCCGGCTGCAGGCACCCCTGTCGCGGAGGCTCATTCGCACCCTCTCGGTGCTGTGGTTGTCGGAGCAGGGGCCGCACACGTGTTTCCTAACATGTGATCCCAGGTCTTGTGTTGTTTGAGGCTGCTGCAAATAGGATGTAAAAGTTCGTTTTCCAGTTTTGTGCTCCTGATAGAGATACTTCCAGTTGATTTGCATATACTGAGCTTGTGGTTTAGTAGCCGTGTGCTTCAGTCACTGTGGCTCGAGGTTAGGCGGTGATGTGTGAAAGCAACTGATGGATTGTAGCTCTTCTGTATTTTGTTGTTGTTGTTGTTAAATCTCTCTTGCTTCTGTTTGTAAAGCTAATTTTAGACGGTCATTAAAAATGCTACATTGAGTTCAGAACTCAGAGCTGGGGATTAGGTTAAATACACACCATGAAGTTATTAAGCACTAAATGTCCTTCACGTGGTTTGATTCCACAATGAATTACTGAGTTTTGAGGACACATGTTTATAGAACCTCCCTTCTTGCAAATAAACTTTTTGAACGTATAACATAGCTATGAAGGCACCTCCATTCTCCTCCGGCCACACCTATCTTGTTCTTCATCGGCAGCTGGTGAAAGCAGCTCGAGCCAGTGTCACCAGCACGGGGTTTAGCGACAAGAGTCCTGCAGCCCAGAAGCCTGAGGACTAGGCTTCGATTAGACACCATATCCCATGGCGGCCTCGGAAGCGAGGCTTATGTGGCTGCTGCCTGGGAGCTCCGGACGTGGGCTGTGGCCCCAGCCTTGCCTGAAGGGACCCCACGGTCCCTCTTGTTTCCTGAAGTTTGGGAAAGTGGGGGCCAGAGCCCCTTACTTTTCATTGGTGACTCACCCCCCGGGAGGGAGGCCAGGTCCCGGGAGACCACAGTATGGCAGCCCCTGTCTCTGGCCAGCCGAATCTCCATCCCATCCACCCCAGTGGGACTGTGGTGCAGGCGTGCCCAAGCTGTAAGATGCTGCATGTATCCGCTCAGTGCCATAGGGAATGGCCTTATGTGTGAGTCATGGTGGTTTTCATGACCGTGTTCTCTTGGAAGGAATTCCGCACGTGGCTGAGGGAAGAATGGGGGCGGACACTGGAGGACATTTTCCACGAGCACATGCAGGAGCTCATCCTGATGAAGTTTATCTACACTAGTCAGTACGAGTAAGTGCATCCTCCTCCGTGGGCATTGTGAGCGCAGCCCTGCTGTGTGGGTACTGGGTACAGTCCCTCTCTGTGGGTACTGAGCGCGGTCCCTTTCTGTGGGCACTGTGAGCGCATCCTTGCTCTGTGGGTACGGGGTACAGTCCCTCTCTCTGGGTACTGAGTGCAGTCCCCTTCTCTGGGTACTGGGTACAGTCCCTCTCTGTGGGTACAGAGTGCAGTCCCCTTCTGTGGGTACTGAGCTCAATCCCTCTCTGTGGGTACTGTGAGTACAGCCCTGCTCTGTGGGTACTGAGCACAGTCCCTCTGTGGGTACTGAATGCAGTCCCCCTCTGTGGGTACTAAGCACAGTCCCTCTCCGTGGGTACCGAGTGCACCCCTGCTCTGAAGGTACTGAGCACACTCCGTCCCTATGCACACTGAGTGCAGCTCCCTTTGTGGGTACTGTGAGCCTAGTCCCCCTTCACGGTTACTGAGCGCAGCTCCCTCTGTGGGTGGTGTGAATACAGACCCTCTCTTGGTAGCTACTGTGAGCATAGTCTCTCCCGGAGTACTGTGAGTACAGTTTCTATCCTCCCCACCGTGCCTTACCTTGGTGTCTGTTTTCTGTCTGCTTTGTCGCCAGCATCCAGCAGCGGCGTGCTCTGACAAGCCTGGCCCGTGTGCCAAAGCCTCAGGGCGTTTCCCCACGTCTGCTGGGGGAGGCTCCGCCTCTCTTAGCTGCTCTCCCTGCCTTGGCCTCTGTCCCTGGGCCCTGTCCCCGGGTCCCACGTAAACAACCCCTGGTGCAGCGAACGCCCCCTCCGCAGTCTCGGGTCGGCATCCTGTGCCGGGATGACAGAGCAGGAGTGGCATCCCCTCCCCCTCTGCAGAGAGCTCTACCTGCCGCAGCTGCCCTGCGGTGCCCGGTAGAGCGTAAGCCCTGGTAGAATCCGATGAGGTGTGACGTGTGCCCTGCGTGTGTTTTGAGGGGGCGACGACTGTGGCTCAGTAACGCGGCGTGCCTCCTGCCCCCCGCTGGCCTGGGAGGACCCTAACCGGGCTGTACCGGGCCGCCCTGCCCCGGGCCGCCCTGCCCTGCCGGCCCTCCGTCACCAGGCAGGGAGGTGCGTGAGCTCTGTACTCTGCCTCCCCGTCCCCCCACCCGAGCTGCTCTCAAGCCACCTGTTCCCCCCACAGCAACTGCCTGACGTACCGCCGCATCTACCTCCCGCCCAGCCACCCGGACGACCTCATCAGACCCGGCCTCTTCAAAGGCACCTATGGCAGCCACGGCCTAGAGATCGTCATGCTCAGCTTCCACGGGAAGCGGGCCAGGGGCACGAAGATCACGGTGAGTCTGGCGCCACCCTGGCTACTCACAGTGGGCCCTGGAGCCGTGGCTTTGCCGGGGATGCAGATTGTCAGGCCTAGCCAGACCCACTGATGCAGGATTTGCATTTCACAAGACCTCTAGGGGATCGGGAGCGTTTCTCAGGTGGCCTTACCCCATGGCACCCGGTCCTGGCCACACGCCAGAGTCCCTGGAGATGTTGAGAAAACACTGATGTCGGGCCCTAGAGATTCTGATCCATGGAGGGCGACCTGGGTGCGTGGCTCCAGGAGTTCCCCAGGTGACGGTAGGGTGCTGCCACATCGGAGCCCCCTGCGTTATTACACGGGCTCCCACTGCCCGTCCTGACCTCAGCAGCTGGTGCACACAGTCGGAGGATTGTTGAGCTGAAGGTGGCGGGGGGCGGGTCTTAAACAAATCAGCCCTCTGTCCCTGCCTCATCGACACCGGTCACACCGTGCTCACCTGTCATTTGCATAGCCAGGGCGCCTTTCTGGCAGGTGCACCGAAGCGTCCCGGGGAGGAATGCCTCTTCCTAGTTCTCACAAAGCCTTCTTCTTGAATCCTGGTCGGCCAGGGCCCCTGTGCTCTGGGAAGGCTCCTTGTGAGCAGAGCGCAGCCCTGGGGTCCCGTGCGGAGCTGCAGGGCCTGGAGGAGCTCCTGGGTTCAGGCTCAGGAGCGTTTGCGTCCAGGGCAGACAGATCTGGGCTGGCTCTCAGGTCAGGAGGGCCTGTGCACTTCTCTAAACCCCAGTTTTTTTTTTTATCTTATCTTATTTTCTTCTATTTAGAGAGGGAGATGGTCAGAGGCAGAGAAAGGAGACTCTTAAGCAGGCTCCACTCTGAGCATGGTGCCCAATGTGGGGCTTGATCTCACGACCGTGAGATTGTGACTCGAGCAGAAATCAAGAGACGCTTAACCAACTGAGCCACCCAGGTGCCCCATCTAAGCCCCAGTCTTAGCCCCTCCAGACTGGGAAGGTTTTTACACCTGGAGGTCTCAAGCACACATGAGCCACTGTGCCAGGGGCCTGTGCACCTCACAAGGTCACTCGGATGCTGTCAGGTCCGTGTTTTCAAAGACCCCTTCACAGATGGGTTGCCTGCCATAGGCACTTAGTTTTTACGGGCATCTAAGACGTTCTTACTTCGTAAGGAGTTGCTGCTAAGTCAGTGGGAATGCTGGAGTGAGCTCCTTTGGCCAGAGGCGTGCTGTGCTCTGAGCTGGAAACCGTGCAGCTTGTCTGTGCCGGTCTCTGAGTCCCGCTGACGGCCGCCCGCTCGCTCCTCAGGGTGACCCCAACATCCCTGCGGGGCAGCAGACGGTGGAGATCGACCTCATGCACCGCATCCAGCTGCCCGACGTGGAGAGCCTCCGCAGCTTCAACGAGCTGTCCCGCATCGTCCTGGAGGTTCGGGAGCAGGTGCGCCAGGAGCAGCAGCAGCAGGAGGACGGGGCCGAGGACGGCGAGGGCCGCGCCCCGCAGAGCCCCCGCGAGCCCCAGCGGGGCCCTGCCCAGCCCAGCGTGGAGCTGCCTGCCGAGAAGGGCGGGGGGCCTGCGGACGGAGAGGCCGCGGCCGCAGCGGCGCCTGCACCCGAGCAGCCGGCCCAGTCCGGGCAGGGGCAGCCGTTCGTGTTGCCTGTGGGCGTGAGCTCGCGCAACGAGGACTACCCCCGCACCTGCAGGATGTGGTAAGGATGCCAGGGCGGTCGCGACAGGCCTTCCGGAGAGCCCCCCTACCCAGCCAGCGTGGACGCAGGCTGTGGGGCCAGTGCAGGGCGTGCTGCATTGGGCGGGGAACCTCCGACAACTCTCTCTGGGTTCCAGCTCGGGCCTTCCCTGGGCTGCACGGCCACATCTCAGACTTCGGGGGCTCCTGAGCTCTCGCCCCTGGGGAGCCTCAAAGGGGGCTTATTAGAACCGCCGGGCGTGAGGCCTCCTCTCAGATGCCTGCCATTGCACAGTCAGTCAGGGGAAGGGTAGACAGCTGAGTCTACCGGTGGTGGCGAAGGTAGCCGGTGAGGAGGGGGCCCTCCCCAACTTGTGTCCCTAGAAGCCGGCTTGAGTTCACCTGGTGTCCTTGCCGGTGAGGCCTGTTGGGGGTCTCCCTTTGTCTCCTGCTGGACATACTCCAGCGTCAGTCCTTCATTTCTTCCTGTGGATTCCCTCCCAACTCAGAAAGCATGTGTAAAGGGCTGGTGGTGCACTGTCCTCCCCACAGAGGCTGGGAGGTTCCCTGACGCAGGGCCGGCTTCCTGCTTCTTGACTCATGTTCTTAGGGTTTTGTCTCAGGCCTCTCCCTTCATCCGCCCCGGGCCCAGCCCTGGAGGACACATGAGGAGACCCTCGCCCCAGCCCTAACCTTCAGGGCTGCTGGAGCTGAAATAACCTAAAAGGACAGACTCGGGTCCTCAGTCACATTGGCCGCATCCCCAGCCGGCAGCCTCGGGTGTGTTGGGCTCTGCAGGTCTAGAATGTTCCATCATTGCAGGAAGTTCTCCTGGACCATCGCCCTAGGGGACGTGTTGAGGGAATGACCCGTCTCATGGCATCATAGCCGCTTGGCTTCCACGTGTGTCCAGTTATGTGCAGAGGTCTGTTGCCTTGAACCCTGGGCCCTGTGACTGGCACTTCACATGCCCACTAGAGTGTGGGCAGGGCACTGAGCTCCCCGAGGAGGACTGAGGTGTCTGCATGGGCTAGGCGGCTAAATTGGTTCTGAGCGCCCAGTGCCCCACCTGCAAGCAATTCTCCATGATGCCAGCCAGTGTCTGCCACTCGACTGGGTCCTGACACTGTGCACCCAGGATGATGTCAGACCCTGCAAGACTGCCCTGCCCCCTCAGCCGCCTGTTACCAGTCCAGTTTGTCTCCGTGCTTCTGACCAGCCAGCTGTAGGTCGGGGATTCTGTGACCCCCTCCTCGTGTTCAGTGAATGTGCTGGGGCGGCTCACGGAAGTCAGGGAAACACTACATTCACCATCTTGCTGAAGGCGGTGACAAAGGACATAGATGGACAGCCACATGACGAGATGCGTGGGACCCTGATCCGCCCTGGGACTGGGGTGGACGTGTTCCCCCAACTGGGAGCTCCCTGAACCCCATACTGTGGGTTGTTCTGGAGGTTTCCTCCTGTAGGCCTGGTCGGTCATTAGCTCCATTTGTAGCCCTCTCCCCTCTCTGGGGGATCGCGGAGCAGCCGAGGATTCCAGGCTTCTGATCCACCTGCCATCCGGGAGCCACCTCGGTCACCTCCTAGTGTTCTTATCCCCTCGGAATTTACGTGGGTTTCAGGAGCCCGGCTCCAGGAACCTGAGCAGAGATCAGCGTGTGTTCTGTTGTCTCCCACTGGGAAAATCAATTCCATTTCTTCATGCTGCTCAGTTGTCACCAAAGTGGCTGAATTTGGGTTTTCCTGGAGGAGGCATGCAAATCGCGTTCCGGTAGGATTTCGACTGATGTGAATTTATCAAAGGTCATGAAATAGGGCTCTGCTGTCCTTAGGAAATGGAAAACTCGTAGTGTTTTGTGGCTCAGCCATGGCTCCCCAGGGCGCTCTGAGGCCAGCCCTGCGGTGGACACGCAGGACCTGCTGAATATTGGGCTCTGTGACCTGGGAGGGGCGTGCTGCGGTCCCTCCTGTTCGGTTCTTGTGTCTGCGAGGCCTTGCCGCCGCACCAATTCAGGACCTGGCCTCCCTGTGGCCTCTGGTGCTGCTTTCCCACGTGAGGCTTTCCCCAAACACCCTCCTGTGCACACCCTCAGGCACAGGCCTGCTGTCCTCTCCCGCCCAGGGGAGCCTTGGTGTGGTGGCTGGAGGTGGGGGTCCCAGGAGATGGGCCCAGCCCCCATCCCTATTACCTATCTGTAGGAGCCCCAAATTCTTGGCAAGAAAGACGTAAACGTAGCTTAGTCTGACCCTGGTCTTGAAACTTGAAACTTGGCCTTATGGAAATCTGGATGTTCTGCCTGCTGGGTTCGTGACAGTAAGTCTTTATTGATTGTATTTGAATCGTTGATGTGCTAACATAAGCATCCCTGGAATTAAGACTGGTTACCTGGGCCAGCTTTGTGAAGGTGTCCTTTGGGACAGCGGTACGTGGTTGGGGCTGCTGGATACCCTCTTCTTTTACCCGGGTGAGCCCAACCGTCGGCCCGTGGTTTGGTGCATTGGGCAGTTAGGGTTGCTAGGTGGTCCGGGCAAGACGGGCTCTCGTGGGCCTTGAGGCCTGCAGCTTCCTGCTGGCGGGAGGAGGGGCTGGCAGGGGCGCGGGGGGTGGGCGTTGCAATAGCCCAGGCGGACAGGGCAGGACTGGGGCCCGGTGCACTCCTTCTGGGTCCCTCTCATTCCCTCCCCATGCACTTTTCCTCTTGTCTTTGTTCAGTTTTTACGGCACGGGCCTCATCGCCGGCCACGGCTTCACCAGCCCTGAGCGCACTCCTGGAGTCTTTATCCTGTTCGACGAGGACCGCTTCGGGTTCATCTGGCTCGAGCTGAAATCCTTCAGCCTGTACAGCAGGGTGCGGGCCACCTTCCGGAACGCAGAGGCGCCGTCCCCACAGGCTTTCGAGGAGATGCTGAAGAACATCCAGTCCCTGACCTCCTGACGGGCCACTTCCTGTGGGGCGGCTCCCGGGGCCCCGGACCCTGCCGCCCGGGACAGGAAGCAGCATGCACTTTGGAGATTCGGCCTTCTGACCAGAACACCCACCTCGTAGGAGTCTCGGCCCAGCCACCCCAAAACTCTGTACAGAGTGTGCGACGTATGCCTGTGTCCTCGTCAGTAGCTCATGGGAAGGCTGACTGAGCTTGTCTCACAGAAAGAATGACCCAGGACAGAACTGATGGAGAGGGCTGGCTGCACAGTTTTGTGAACGACTCAGCTGGAGAAACTGGGTTTGTCCTTGGCCTGCTGAACGTTTTTTTGGGTCAGGCAGAGCGACCCTGGGGGCTAACGATCGGGATCATGTGTGAGGCGAGTGACCGTGGCTGTGGTCTGGCCAGGGTCTGGGGCGAGGGCCTCTGTGAGGTGAGCGTTTTACAGCCTGGATGGGGCACAGGGTGTGCAGTGAGGGAGCTCCAGGGGGTCGGGTGTATCAGGCCAGGACCCTGGACTGAATTCCTGTGTCTTTACTAACCTGCTTGGATTTTGGACAGAAGCATTTCACCTCTGATTGGCTTGTGAATCAGCGCAGTGGGGTTAGTGATACGGGTCAGTAGGAAACGTCACGGTGGGCCTTTGCGCAGCTTGGAGGCCCTGGCCTCTCTCCAGCTTTAGAATCAAGACCTTTGCTGCAGCCAATTCGAGGCAGGGCATTTGTTTGCACACCCCCCCATCCACCTCCTGCACATGCTCTGGTGTCAGAACCCTGAGCTGAGCCACTTGTCCCAGAACCTTCTTCAGAATTCTGCAGGGCCACATCTGAACCAGCCCTGCCTTTTCCCATTTGCTTAGTATACACAGGTGCTGTTCTCGGAAGTGTTAAAGCAGCAGAGTGGTTGCACAAGATGACTTTGGAGCCCCTTTGTGGGTAACAGGGCAGCTTTCTAGAAAAGTCACCCCATACATGTGGAATGCACTTTGGAGACCAGGGCATCTCGGGATCCTCCAGTGTGGAGACCCTGAGCATGGACGCTTCTGCCGGTGGTGTGCCCGTGTCCCATGGACACCTGCGTTTGGGGACCCACTCTTGTAAGGTCTCTGCTGATCTTAGTGTCTCCTGAAGAACAGAGCCCTGAATGCACGTAGACCCCCAAGAATTAGCTCCTGCTCCGCTTCCAGCCTGCAGAGAGCTGTCACCATGCTCCCCTTCCATGGCAGGCGCTCCACCGGGGCGGGGGGCAGACTTCGTCCCCCTGTCTGTGGCTCGTCCCTGCTGGGTGGACTGTGCTGAGCCCTTGTGCTGGGGCCAAGGGTCCCCAGGGAAGGGGGCAGCTTTGTGGTGCCTTCATGTAGAGACCAACCTGAGATGTCCCATGAAACATGTCCTGTTTTCCTGACGAATTTCTCCCTGACTGGCCTTGTTTTTTTTTTTTTTTTTTTTTAAATAAAAATCCCTATTGCTGTAGCTTCAGTACATTTGGCAACTTTGAACTTCCTTTGCTTCCCAGAATCATAGAATTGATAAGCTCTGGGGCCCGGCCCCTAAAAGGCAGACTTTCTAGGAGGTTCTGTCCAGACTCTGACGCGGGAAGGAGGCAAGTGGAGAAGGCGGGGGGGTCCCTCCTGGCCGGCTGTCAGAGATGCCGAGCTCGCCCCTCACATGCTTCTGGTCGGACCTGGAGTCAGGCTGAGGCGTGGTCTGTGTTCGTGTCTTCCGCAGGACCAAGCAAGCCTCCAAGCGTTCCCATCCCTGCCCCTTGTGGCTGCTCCCGCATGGCAGTAACCACGTCCGCGAAGCCTCGGGCAGGACGGGGCAAGGCCCACTGGGTGTGTGGCCGCTGTGCGTCCCACTTTGCCCGAGCCTGGGGCTCGCTCGGAGGCTCATTCTGAGGCTTTTCCACCTGGGCCTCCCCTCATCCTTGAAACCCATTTGGATCGAAGATGAACCTTTCTGATGAAAAACCAGTCTCAAACCCAGACTGTGGGACCTGCCTCTGGAGCGTGGGCCTTTTTACGTGGTTTCCACTGGCAGTGGCTGTTGGCTACATTCGCACCATCCCGTCTCTGGTGTCAGACGGGAGCCTGTGGGGCCGAAGGGTGGGCAGCGGCCTGGGTAATGCCAGGCGGGGTCCGTGGCGGTGGACGGTGAGAGTGTGTCACCTGCGCAGCCGGGGGCCCAGAGTACGTGTTGTTTCCCACTTGGCGTATCCGTGGCCGGTTCTGGTTTCCAGTTTGTAGGTGAGTGTGCAGGGTCCGTGCAAACCAGTCCCAGCAGGCGCCCCTTCCGGCAGAGTGCGCACCCCACTCGTCAGGGCGGCTTCCAGCCCGTTAATTTGTTGCAGGTGAGGATTCAACAAGGCTGAAGTTGTGGTTGGAAGCCTAAAGGCAGCTGGGGTTTTGAGAAAGCAGGTCCCAAAAAGGAACCTGAATGGCCCAATTTAGGGGCTGTCTACGCCCTTGTGGAGCTTGACTGGGGGAAGGTGGCAGGTGGATCCGGGTTGGTCTTTGGACGTTTTCCCCCGGTTGATGTCACCTTTACTCGCCACCGAGCTGCCGTGACACTGGGGACGTCTGTTGTGCTTTATGGCGGCAGGAGCCTCAGGTGTGTCTGTGCACACCTGGGCATGTGCTGTTCTGGACTTGACCCGGAAGCACGTGATTGGAGGTTTCAGATGTGAGTCTTTGGATTCCTCTGTGTTGGGGCTGAAGGCTCCCTGCATAAGGCTGCTGCAAACGGCCTTGATTTCTTGCCTGTGCGAATCGGGCCTGGCGGTCTCTCTGGTTACGCTGGCCCGCCCAGCTTAGACCTGCAGTGTCTGCTGCTGGGGAGCAGGTTTGGAGGCCTGGTGTGGCGGGAGTTCCAGAATCCTCCCTCCCACGGTCCAGACGGGGCCTCGCTTCCTGGCCTCACCCCTCGGTCCCTCTGGGCAGCTGGCTCCCTGTGGCTGTTGCTCAGGGTCACAGCCACCCGCCGTTCCCTCCTTCCCTCCCTCCCCTCTCGTCCTGATCCAGGCGGCTTGGGTGGGTGCCTGTACCCCCGGCATTCCTTCTGGCCAAGGCGGAGGGCGGGAGGGCTGCCACGGTGGCCTACGGTTAGGAGCAGGCCAGGCCTGCGTTTCCACTTCATGTGGAACAGACTTCGAGCCGGAGCCACCATGGCAGACTTCCTCTTTCCCTGAGAACCTGGCGTGGTTTACTGCTGGGGCCCAGTCGGGCAAGGCCCCTCCGTCAGCCAGCTGATCCGCTGTGCTCGACAGCTGCCAGCTGCCATGTTCGGGGCTGGATTTCTATCTGCGGGCTGTCCGGGTGTCTCGCCCTGCTGGGGTGTGGTCACCTTGTAGTGCTCGTGAGCGGTGATGCAGAAGAACCTGTCCAGTCCCTTTACTTGGCCAACTCAGTCACGGGATTCCTGGGATTTCTGAGCCCCTTGTGCCCACGGTGTCTGCTGTGTTGAGGACGAGCGCCCCGTGTAGACTCAGTGCTTTGAGGAGGTTGTCCTGCAGCGTGAGAACCTTTCACCCTGTCTTCTGCCTTCGTGCTCCAAGTGCTAGGAATGCTTATGGGAATGTTCTTGTGCAGCCCTCCCTGGCTTGAGGCTAGCATGCCCCAGTCCGTGGCCAATCCCAGTGCTAACATACGCTGACGTCCCTGTCTTTATGTTTGGGAGATCCGGAATGTCACCTGGCTACACGTTCTCAGAAGCGTTGAGTGAGTAGAGAAAGCCATGACGCTGTTGGTTTGCCTGAAGCTGTGCACGGGGACGAGACAGTGCCAAAGTACCAAGTGCTCGGTGGCGTGGGCGACCAGCGGCAGCACCGAGGCTTGGTCCTTTGTGTGCTCACAGGGAGACCAACCAAACCTAGGAAGGGTTCCGAACCCGTGCTTTTTTAGTCTGATTTTACTTTTGGTTGTTATTTGAGATCACATAGCCTACTTGGAGAAGAAGCACATTTATGCTGCTTGATCTTGAATTCCCATGCCCTGACAGCCACAGGTGAGGTGTGGGGAGTCGCTGTCCCCCCCAAGGCATCTGCTCTGGTGTAGGGTGGGCTGGAGCAGGGGCCATGCAGGGCCACGCCCCGAGGAGCCACTGCTGTGAGCCTGCGCCCAGCGTTGTCACCGGATGGGACCTTGTGGGGCTGTTTCTCCATAAACCAGTTTTTGAAACCTTGTTGTGTGCTTTGTAATTGTTTCTCTTGGGATGTGATCCAGAGCCATAAACAATATGAGGTGGGGGGCTGACAGCCAAAGGAGGGGGCTGGATCCTGGCAGGGTTGGGGGGCCCTCTGGGAGCCTCTCACATCAGGACTTGACTGAGTTTTGGTTTCTCTGTCGTGGAATGAAGCGGTAAGTGATCCCTTGGAACCCAGACCACGGTAGGTCTCTGGATCCCTCTTGACCTTGGCTTGATATATGGCCCCATCCCCGAGCGGTGGCCCAGAAGGAGTGGGAGCCACTGTGGGATTTTCTTAGACTAAATTCAAAAAGAGTTTGCTTTTTCTGAGAACAGGATAAGATTGGCTGAATAGAAGAGGGCTGGGGCTGTGCTCTGTGGTGGGCACACAGCTGAGGATCTCATTTTCGGGTTTGTTTTTTTCGGTTTGTGAAAGTTATCTTGTGAACAGTGCAAGAATTTAATACAGGAAGTACAAGAACCTTCTGTTCCCACTCGGGCAGGAGCACTCCCCTCCTCTCTCTGGGCACTGGCTTAGGCCCACTGGTCCCCTGGAGGAGGGCTGGCTGATCCTTCCCCCCCAGGAGGCTGTGGCTGGCAGGGCCCTTGCCAAGCACCGTGTGTGTGTCATGTATCTCCCTGTGCTCCCTCCTGGGGCCCTCTGTAGCCTGGCCTCTGCTGGGGGATTTAGGGTGGCTGCATGCACGTGTGACACCAGCCAGCAGGACTTGAAAATCCATGAGTGCTGGAAGGCTGTCTTCCCAGCACCTGGTTTTTGGAAACAGGGCTGCAGGGGCCAGATGCTCTGCACACATGGAGGGCAGCGCCTGCAGCCCCTTCCTCCACCCATAGGCCCTTGTGTGGATGTCCAGCTCTGG